TGTTTGAATCTTAGTCCTGAGAGATGAGAATTTTTGAGGGCATATTGTTCTATTGTAATCACTCATGTTTCTGAGAAACGTTTGAATCTTTTCCCAGAATTGTGTGACATGACAGATGCTTAGATGTACAGTCTAGATTCCATTTTAACTGTAAGTTTCCATATACTTGCAAGAAATATAAAAAAGAAAAATAAAGAAAAAAAGAAAATAAACTTTCTAAAACCAAAAATGTATTCAGTAGCAATCACAAAAATTATCTGTCCTGATGCTACTTCACACACAGCCAGAACTACCTGAAGGGAAGATACTACCAAGCACGTGGTTTCCTAAGCCATAGCATAACAGTATTAAAAAAGACCAGGTTTTTCTTCCATCAGCCAGAATATTTATTTACAGAGATGGCAGGCTCATATAATAAGATCTAATTAAATCAGACTTTTGCCCTGATTCAGTTGGTATGTAGCCACCTGTATTGATGTAAGCCTCTGATTTAAAAAAGGGTAAACCAAAAGGAGGTTTGCCTTACCTGAAGCATATCAGAGATGAAGCGTTCAATCCTTTTGCTGGGACTTGTAGGCAGATATGTAACAATGATGGGAGGCTACACCAAGCTGAAAAGATGAACAATACGGCACATTTTTGGAATGGCATAGTGCTCTCTAAACATCTGGAGGAGACCCCTTCCCAAACAAATTGCATCTTTTTTACACTTTACCCTTTGTATATACGCTGTTCTCTGTGAGATTAGAATCTACAATTTGCCCAGTGCAATGGAGCCTACATTTTGGTTGCTATCTGCATAGATAAAGGAAAATTCTGGAAGGTTTAATAAAAAATATATATAAATAAACCATTCCATTTTGCTCACTCAGACTGGAAAGATTCCTTTCTTCTCTGGGAAGAATCATTTCTACAACCTGAATCTTAATGGAGGTAGTTTGGAGAAAGTAACAGGTGGTGCACTATGGAGTACAAGGAAGATGATTGCTTGACCTTGAAACACAGAATCGTAGAATCATAGAATGGCCTAGGCTGGAAGGGACCTTAGAGATCATTTTAATCCAGCCTCCCTGTTGCCAGGGTCACCACCTGTCGACTAGATCAGGCAACACATGGGGACCGAACGACTGAGGTTTGAAATGATCTCTAGAGGTCTTCTGGTCAAGCTCCCATGCTCAAGTGTGGCCACCTAGAAATAGCAGCCCAGGACTGTGTCAAGATGGTTTTTGAATATCTCTAAGGCAGGTGACTCCACCACATCTCTGGTCATTGAAGATGACCAAGTACTGGCACAGAAAGTGAAGCAGTGTTTGCTGGTGTTTAGGAAGAATCTCCTGTCTTTCAGTTTGCACCCACTGCCTCATGTCCTCTCACAGGGTGCCACTGAAAAGAGCCTGGCTCCATCCTTTTTACACATTCCCTGCAGGTATTCATACACATTGCTGGACCCCTCTGAGCCTTCTCTCTCTAGGCTAGAGTCCCAGCTTTAAACTGAGCTAGAGTATCAGTTGTACAAGTACGGTATCAGTTTTAAGATAAGATCTTACCAGCCAACCACTGTGAGAAAAACGACATCCTGGATTTTTGTGACTCTGATGGAATAAAGGGCCTTTTTGTTCCAGTCTAGAGATCTTAAAATCTAGTCAATTAGACTATTTAAAACTGCGCAGTTCTCAGCAGTCGGTACTATGTTCCTGTAACATCTTACTACATATTTCTGGACGTATCTCTCCCCAAGGGATAAACATCTCTTTTGGACTAGCTGAAAGACCCAGCATGAGAAACACTGAGACTGAAGTCAGGACTTGTAGTAAGGGACCTAAAGAGGTCTACTTTCTTCCTTTAAGAGATTGATTTCCTGGGAAACTGTATAAAGGTCAGAAGCACATTATGCTCTATGCGATTGTGAAAAAGCCTCTGGACACTGATGTTACATAAATATTTACAACTACCATTACTAATCAAACCTGTTTCCAGCCTTTGCTCCTCCCAAGGAAGAAAACAGGATAATAAGGAAGAATTGACTCGTGAAGAATAATAGGAGTGAAAGTCTAACCCGAAATCACTAATCGAAACTGCACACTTATCTGAACAGGAAGGGACATTATAAAAAAACAACCAAAAATCAAGGAGTATCTGTAATTTTCCAATGTAGATTATAGAACACTGGAAGTCAACTGTGACAAGAATGACAACAGCACCATGCTTTTGTTTTCTTTATTTTACCCTTGAGCAGATAACCTTTCATATTTTGGTAGAGTAGACACGTTGGTGATGATGTTTTTGTGATGTTGCAAAACTCCACTTTCTTCTCATCCCTCTGGGAACAAATTCATCCACGTCATTTAACCACAACACAGCTTTGTAAAGAACAGAAAGACCAGAGGGACAGCAGTTTGTGGGGAAGATGATATAATAGTATATATTGTCTGTAAAAAAGCTAGTTGAGGAACTGTTGATAAAAAGGATATTCATAAGTGACTACATCCAAATTCAGCATCAGAGAACCCAGGCAGAGATGGTATTTGACTCACTTATTTCATATTTTTTTAAGTGATCCAGGATACAAGCAGGAAACTTGCAGCTCTGGAGTTACATGTGACTTGCAAGCAGGTCAGATGTGCCTCCCGTAATGCGTGCTGCAGCAGCCAGCGGCAGGACCTCGCTGGGGGCAAGCTGCTGGGTAATGCGACAGCCTGGCCGTGGAAGGAAGCGAATCAGCAAGGAGCACTGAGGCAGATACTGAATCACCTCGAAACCCAGACACATGCTGAGGTTTGTGACTGAACCCTGACATAGAGTGGAAGCATTGAGATCTATGAAGAATTACTGTTTTTTCCTTTTTTGGGGACTACTCCTAGAGTTCCTCTTCCTTTCTACTCTCAGAAGTGAATATTGGTTGTCCTAAAGCATGCGAGTCTTTTTGCACTTCAGTGGAACAACTGTGCCCAAACATCTAAGGCACTTTTGAAAACCTTATCCACAAGCTACAAACACATGGGAATATTAATTAAATGTGATTAATATAATAGACATCAAAATTGAAAAGAAGAAACTCTTCTCAACTTAAGCCTTCTCATCAAAGAGCAGAGCTGGTAGAAATCGCCAGAGCCTGTGACATTTCAAGTTAAAGTTGAAATAGATTTCATACAGTCATTCCCACGTTTTGACAGTAGAAACTCCTACTACCTTCTGGGAACCTAGATTTTATGGTACAGTTATATTTACTAAGTTTTGCACCTGAAAGGAAGCGCAAAGGAGAAATGCACTTTGGTCTTATTGTAGGCCAGACCAGTATGAACATTAAAACCTACATTGTGTATCCATCAGATAAAATAAATTAGACAAACACAAAAGAAGCAGAACTAAGTTCATGCTAAAGGCTCTTAAAGAAATTACACAATCTTAAAAAAACAAAAATACATTAATTTTGCATCAGTTTCCCAACTATAACCAGAGATTTTCACTACCTCTTTTTCTTATCTCTGCTGCCCATTGAGACACTATTTGAGAGAAGATTTATTACTATGGAGTGAGCAAAAGGCTGACAAAAAAGGCTGACAGAAGTTTGACAGACTAAACTTTATCCAGAAGATTTCTTTCCTACTTTTTCTCTTGTAATCAGTTCCACCACATATGAACACTCAGACTGGAAATATATTTTTCATGATACATGTTCCCAAAGACCGTAAACTTTCTGCAAATTCAGCTACGAGTATTTCTAATTTCTGACAGACTGTGTTTTCAGTCTTTTCTCCACCATTGATGTGGAATCTTGATCCAGTGCAGAAGCTGAAGGTTCACCCAACTGCTTTGTTCTGGTTTACTGCTATGGTCAAGTTTTCAAAGTTAACTCCCTAGGATGCAAGTAGCAAAACAGCAATAAGAAAATGAGAAGATTAAATATTATAGAAATGGTAGCAGGAGTTAAGACTCTGTTGGGCCTTTATAAATGACATAATTTATCAAAAGATTTCCGAGAATTTAAGGGAATTTATAAAAAAGCCCAACAGTTCTGCTTCATGATTGACACAAAAGCCAAACAAGCAGGTCTGGCATTCCACAGCCCGAAAGACAATTGTGCTTATATGACATGAGAAGCTCATCAGAATAGCATCTCTTGATCACAGTTGAAGATACTTGTCTGTTTCTAGATTAAAGTAGCCCATGTTAACACTGGCCACAGGATAATGTTGGAAGCAGTGACACTTAAAACTGCCTGTAGTTCCACTTTTTTGGCTTCCAAGACGTGGCTAAAAAAAAAAATAAATTGAAATGAAATGAACTGTCCCATTTAGCTGATGACATTTGGTCTGCATTATACTTCACAAAGGATAAGCTTATGTAAGTTCTGGAGTAAGGAATAGCCTAACTACCTAGTCCCTTTTTAATATTAGCAAACTTCTGATGTAGAAATTTCTTTTAAAAAATTGAATTATCTGTTTCTATTAGACACCTCACCAAGATCTGCCTCATTGCTAATCAGAGAGCAAAAGCATGTTACCACGTTTGCCAAGCACAAGAATATAGGTAATGAAGTCCATTTCCAGTGACTGCCAGGTGGCTTTAAATAGCACTTTTCGTTAAGTCTTTTAGCAATGCACAATTTGTTTCCTGCATTAAAAGGCACTTGTTTTTCTAGTTGTGGTATTTGCAAAACATCGTGCATAAAATTAGAGGCTACAAGAACTTTGCATACAAAGAAAAGGACAACAGAAAATGTTGCATGGGGATGTCAGAGTCTACCTCATATACTGAGGTGGGAGGGTAGGTAACATCTCTGTAAACCTACTTTTGGCTAAGAGTCCCATTGGTAATTGTTGGTGGTACCACAAATTAAACATTTTATTGTCATCGCTCATTTCAGAATAGGAGCATTTCAAGCTCAGTAAGCAAGTTTTTACTCTGTGTGATCGTCAGGGCAGCTCCATTCCCACATTTCCAAATGGTGCATCTCCATTGCACTAAAACCTAAGAGACACCAAGGATATGTTTCTTGCCTATAGTGCTTCAGCAGGAGCTGTGCAGGTGTGGGATTCATCCAGTCCTTTTGGTTTTGTGTCCTTGTCATTGCGGATCTCCAGATCGTGAATTCCAGTCACATTATTTTTGTTACCATCCATTAGTCTTCTGCCATGTCTGTGCTCTTCTTGTTGCACTGACAGAAGTCACTGGAACTCTCTAGAAAGTTGATGCAAAATTTGATAACCAGTGCTAGCCAGGCCATCCCGAAGAGGATCCACAGGGAGATTACATTCTTGTACCAGCCTGGATAAGTGCGGTCTGGGTTCATCCCTACAAGAAAGTCACCCAAAATATTTCTAGATTGGATCAAGAGGGCCTCAGATGAGACATAACATATAAAGCAAAGACAGTGGAAGTATCACCCAACATTAGTGATTTCTATATAAAATAGAAGTGTGCCATCTGCCTAGCATGTGAACAGATTCTGTAAGCAAGCATGCTTCATGACATGTCAGGAACAGCCTAAAATTCCCTTAGAATTGTAAAGACTATATATAAGAAAGAAAAATAAATCACAAATGCTATCTATGTCAAAGTGAAATTATTCACATTTAAGCACAGTTTCACTTCTCTACTTATCACCTAGCATCACAACACTGTATTAGTATGTAACAGAGGTCCCCTGCAGGCAGAGAGGTAAACGAGCGGGTTTTATGTGCCCGTATCTTAAGGCAGATATAAACGAGCGAGTGGTTCTCTAAGAGCAGGAGGGAAGCGGTCTGAGTAGTCCTAAAACCGTCCAAAGAAGGTCAGCAAAGCTGGTGAATGGTCAACAAATCTTATGAGGGGTAGCTGAGGTAACTGGAATTGTTTAGCCTGGAGAAAAGAAGGCTCAGGGGAAACGTTATGACTCTCTACAACAACCTGAAATGAAGTGGTAGTGAGGTGGGGGTCAGTCTCTTTTCCCAAGGAGCAAGTGATAGGACAAGAGAAAATGGCCTCAAGTTGCACCAGGGAGGTTTACACAGGATATTAGGAAAAGTTCCTTTGCCAAAAGCATTGCTAGGCACTGGAACAGGCTGCCCAGGGAAGTGATTGAGTCACCATTCCTGGAGGTATTTAAGATGTGCAGATGTGGTTCTTAGGGACATGGTTTAGTGCTGGGTCTGGCATTGCCAGGTTCTCCGTCGGACTCAATGATCTTGGTCTTTTCCAACCCAAACAATTCTATGATTCCATGATTGTAAAACCTCTAAGAACAATCAAGCCTTGCCTGAAGTTATGCTACCTCTGTCCGGTTACCCAGCTAGGTACTCTGCGATTCTTTTGGAGCAAAGCCATATATTTGGTGGTCTTTCCACAATGTTTAGTGCAAAGAGGTTTCTACAGGCTAAGTTAGCGTCAGTAGCAATATTAATAATGACATAGGCAAGGCAAAGGAATGAGCTCAGCCCTATGAAGTGACTGGGCTGTATCTGTAAAGCAGCCTGGAATACCCTTACAAAAACACCGGTAAGGTACAGGACACACATCAGTGGTAGCAAAGTCTTTGCATGAGCGTCTCCTCTTCTGCTTCTCAGGTGTCATTCTTTAGTTTCCCTACCTTAGAAAGATTTCTGACTTTCAAACTGAATACCCACAGCACAGCAGACATTATGGAAGGCCCAATACTTCCAGGACAGAAGATGAAGAGCTAACATGTATGAGTTGGTACCTCTATAAACCTGGAGGCCACTCTCAACACCATGTTCCAATGAAAAGTCCACATAGAGCTGGGTTGAAACAGGACATCCATGAAGGTGAGTATTTAGGTATTTACCATGTGTGACTGGTTGTGTGCAGGAACTCTTTCCTGTCCTTACCCACACAGACTAGCAGTTCCCAAATCGTGGTCTGTGGACTGTTACTGTCTACAAGACTGTGATAATTAGTAACTGGAAGTGAAGTCATAATAAAGAGTCAATCTTTCATAACTATTTACTTGGCGTTATTATATATTATACAAGACACATTATATGTGTTTTCAATATAATGGGACCACAAGATATTTCGAAATTGCCACCAAGCCACCAGTAAATATTTGGTATTTACCAATCACTTTGGTGGCAACTACTCTTTGGACTGGCTTTCTACATCGAGGTAAACTTCAACCAAGAAGAATCCTTCAAGTAAATACCTTTCATTCATGATAAATTCAAGGGTTTAAAATTTGTTTGGATCTAAATAACAAATGAAAACAAGAGGGAAGGGCTATTTGAGGCATCAAAGAAGAATGCTTTATCTAGAGGCCATCTGAGAGATATAGTCTTGGGGATGAGAAGATCAGAAGCAATTTAAAAGAATAGAATCATAGAACAATTCAGGTTGGAAAAGACCCTTGGGATCATCGAGTCCAACCATTAACCCTACACTACAAGTTCACCCCTAAACCATATCACCCAACACCACATCTAAGAGACCCTTAAACACATCCAGGGATGGCGACTCAACCACCTCCCTAGGCAGTTTATTCCAGTGTCTGACCACTCTTTCTGTGAAGAATTTCTTCCCAATGTCCAGCCTAAACTTGCCCTGTTGCAACTTGCAACCATTCCCCCTGGTTCTGTCCCTAATTACCTGTGAGAAGAGACCAGCACCAATCTCTCTACAATGTCCTTTCAAGTAATTGTAGAGCATGATGAGCTCCCCCCTCAGCCTCCTCTTTGCCAAACTGAACAGTCCCAGCTCCCTCAATCGCTCCTCCTAAGGTCTGTTCTCCAGGCCCTTCACCAGCTTTGTTGCCCTTTTCTGCACTCACTCCAACACCTCGATATCTCTCTTATACTGAGGTGACCAAAACTGAACACAATACTCAAGGTGCAGTCTCACCAGAGCTGAGTACAGAGGGACAATCACCTCCCTTCTTCTGTTTAGGACTAATATGGCACCCTGTGTCCATTAGGAGGGTTTACCAAGCATATAAATGAACAGATTTTGGAGCCAGTAAGAGAAGCTACATCAATATACAGGCTAGGGACCTATAACGTCAAATTCAAGTACCATAGCCTAGCTTTTATTTCCCACAAAACAGAGAAGCTGTATCCAAAGTGAACATCGGGCCTGTAATAACGTGGTATCTCCCAGAATTTACCCGGTTCTGAATAGTGTCAGAGACCACAATAGTGGAGAAACAGCCTGACAGTCACAAAATAGTGACAATCACTTGAACTCATGTCCTGAATCCACTTATTTTTAAGTTGAAATATAAACCACCAGAACACAAGGTTGTAAGGCCTCTAGATACCACAGGTGGCTGTCACATTCAGTCATTCTCATGCTGAAACTAGTGTATCTATGGCGGTATGCTAGTTACTAAGGTACTGCACAGGTGAAGGTATGCCTGGACACAGGACACGTACTAGTGGAGAGCTTCAAAATTAGTTATCAGGAACTGAGAGAAGTAAAGCTGCTGCTGCCCAGAGTTCAGCATCATCTATAAAAACAGTGTAGGAAAATGCTGAACTGTTAAGTTTTTGTTAAGCTTCATCTGGCTGCCCTTACCCAATCTAACTTGATTCCAGCTCATTTAAGTGTGTCTACACAAGCTATAGTCATAACTTTAATGCATTATAGACAAGTCCTTAAGGCAACCACCACTAAGTTGTACAAGCATCAAGGAGACACTACTAACAGAGGAAAATAGAGAACGTGTAATAAGATGGTTTTGTCTTTCTTTCTCCCAGGGACTCAAGCATGCATATGTTTCTATAATCAATTTGTTTTTAATGAGAAAGTCTTTATCAAAAAGGTGTGTCCTGTGTTTTAGCAAATGCATCAGGCATAAGTCCAAGCCCATTTCCTCTGGTAAAGGGTTTTGGCAACCAAAACTAAGCTGTGCCTGGTGCCTGACAGTCTACACCTAAGTGACTCAAGCTGCCTTTTAGAAAGCAGCTGTTTGGGGTTTTGACAAAGGAAGTGGTCACTGTCTGTTAATGATGATGCAGAGTAGAATCTGCTTAAAACAAATGACTGCTGATGCACTGGAGTGCAGTAAGGGCACCATCAGCAGCTACTGTGGTTAAAAACTTGGCACTCCAGTCTGGTGGTGTAGTCATTCCATTGACAGACCACTTGAATGCTGGAAGATTACTCATTGACTAGGAAATTATTTTTTTGCTCTTCTATATGTGGCATTGCTATCTCAGAAGTCATGCCTTCTCCAATCTGTCCAATGCCTACCACAATATATTTATCATCAGGTGTGTGGATGGCTAGTGGTGTAAACTGCCAAGTTGAGAGTTTCATATGCCACACATTTGTCTTCAATGTTTAGCAGATGAAAGTAATGAAATGTGAACTTACCAATCACATAATCTCCAAAGCCTATAGTGCTGAGGGTAATGAAGGAATAGTAGAAGCCTTCTTCATAAGACCAGCCTTCTTTGTCAGAGAATAAGAAGGGAGGTAGCAGGAGGAACAGTAACAAGCCAGTTACCAGCGCACAGGTCTTAATCAGGAGGGAAGTTTTTTTCTAGTAAAAGGGGGGAAAAAACCAAAAAAAGAGAGAGACTGTGACAAAAGGGTGGAAGGGAAAGTCCATCTCTGTTTCTGGTTGAAGATGATGTTATATTCCATAAAAATCCTGAAACATTCATGACATTTCACTGGAATAAACAGTGAGGCTCTCCAAATGAATACAAACTAGGCATCACCTTCATGAGTCCTAAATTAATGACAGTTTAAAGCCTATTCCACAAATGTTCCCATGTAACTTACATGTGCAATTCTAACTATGACTGATGATAAACAGACCAGACATTCTAGATCTCTGCACGGCTCGAAGGCTTTGGCACTTCTGTTGCTGTAGGGGAAGTCATTCATCACAGAAGTCCTCTCAATTAATAAACAACTTTATCTGACACCTCATAGGACTGTCATAAACCAAATTTATTTGCTTCCAGCTATTCCTGAGTATTATTACCTTTTTGGCCAAGTAAGCAGGCAGGCTGCTCTTGCTAGTCAGAGGATCCCAAACAGCAGACAATGTCCTTTCTGTCTTTTCTTTCCTGAACTTGAGGGTGAGGCATAGCTGTCCACATCACTTACCTGCCAGTGAAACATCTCCTCTAAGTGATGGGCACAATGTTGAACCCCTAACAGCATCAGCTGCCCGATTTCATTCAGGAGTACAAGGTTCAAGGGGATCCCAAAGAGTGCAAACAAGATGCAGAAGATTCGACCGGCTACCGTGCTGGGGCTTAGGTTCCCATAGCCTAGGCAGAGAAGGAATGAGGTGTTAGATCTAAAATATTCTCTCCCTTGCCCTCCTCCCCCAGAGGAGTGAGCCGCCATCTTCTATAAAAGTTAGACAAGAAGGTCACTGCTCCAAAAGGACCTTTTTTTATAAATAACTAAGTTACATCCATTGTTTGTCATATCCTATTGTAGGCTGGAAAATAACATTTCTTTCCCTGCCAATTTTGTTTAGTTCCTTTTCCATTTACCAGTGAATTTCCTCTCGCTTACCCACTGTCCTGGCTGTGATCTGACGTAAATGCAGAACTTCCATTTAGTTCAGTTTTTGTAAGCATTGTTGGAATGGGGTTTGCTGGTAAATGAGCCTGCGTAGCTGTCAGATGGTCTCTGAATCACAACAATAGTGTTTAATTATAACAACAACGTTTTTCTACCTTTGTCCCACAGAACTAGTGAACTTAATACTGCCTCCTTGCTTATACTCCTTTTGTGCCACAACTATCTAACATACCTTAAGTTTAAATTGTCAAAATGTTTGTCCAGAAGTAATAAACGGAGAGAAATTACATTTAACCTGTGTAAAATATTTCAGATCTAAAGAAGAAAAAAGTGTTTGAAATTTTACCTTTTTCTTCTAATGACGTGATCTGCTCTAATAAAAGGTACTGCCCTGCAAGCATAGCCTTTCTTGTATCTTAGACCATGATGGATTTAACGTCACTGCTCTAATATTTGTCTTTCTTGCCCATATTTTCTTTTAAAAATGTCCTGTGAATCTGCAGACTTGTAATTCTGTAACTTCAAGTGTTCTATGCTACAGGAAATTCAGATTAAACTTTGGTTTGTTTCACAGGACACTTTTTCAGCCAGGGGAGGGACTAGCACATGACAAGCATTTCAACAGTGACTTTGTCCAGTCAGAGACCAATGGCCTTGACTATATTTCAAAATCACCTCTACTCATTACATTTGTGTATGTCCATGTACACAAATGATATAACCTGGCAAAGCTTGTATCACAAATAACGCTATTCCCTCCCAGCAACACCCAACTCTTGTTGCAGGGTGAACACAGAGGTGCTCCCACCACTGATGCCTTGCTACTATGCTCATAGGTGGTGCCAGCCCAGGGCAAGTGAGCAGACCCCAGGAGGTAGAGGTCCAAGGGCTGGGCTCTGTACCCGAGATAAATAAGAACACAAACATCTGCAGTTGACTAGATGGAGGCCCATTCCTTCACTAACCTCTGTCCCATGCTAGCTGCAGTAAGCGACTGACCAGCAACATAGAAAGGCTCACGACTATGAGCTTGGGATATCCATGTGCTCTGTGCTGTCAAAGATCTCTCAGCATGGCAAAGTCAACTCTACAAACAGCTGATTGCACAAAAGGACCAGCAAACTACTGCCAGAAAAGGGTCTGGCAGCAAGCTATTTCACAGTAGATATATAGGCTGTATTTTCATCTCATTCCTACCCTCAAAAACTCCAAATTTGACTATTTGGATGGCTTTCCCTCCAATAATTTTAGGCTTGAATGATTTGTGAGCTGCTGGGTTTAATGCAAGTGGTAACATAAAACATACCTCCAAAGCAATGGCCCCAGCAGCCAGTCCCTGAGAGGGGACAGAGCATTGCCTGGAAAGAACAGGATGCTGTTACGTAACTAGAGGCTCTCTTGAAATACAGTCAAAGGGCTAAATAGAGACTGTACAGTAGCCTTAATTCCAGCCCTATGTTCTTTGCTTATAAGCAGCTCCATGACAACTGTGTATTCCCACCTCCCAAAATGTAATTGCCAGCTTCTGCCAGCTTTCACCATTTCTAGATTAGCAGGTGTGATGAGACACATGCAGGCAAGTACATCTGGCAGATGATCCTACCTAAGTGATGTTAAGCAGTATGAGGCTGGTGTGATCTGTTCACAGTGGCCATACCTTATGTCAGTGGATTGGTTCCAGTTTATCTTTTACAGAATTAAGGTGTTTTGGAGACTAGGCTGGACCCAAACAAAAGAGCTGGGGGGCATTTACTGTTAAGGCTGGAGTCTGAACACAAGTAACATATTTATGGCCAGCTATTTGCAAGAGTGGTTTTTGTGTTGTTTTGGTTGTGGTGATGATACTTTTTATTTGGATGAGGACTTTTTGGATGTTCTGTTTTTGTTTTTTTTTTTTCTTTGGCAACGGGTAGGGACAGGGCAAGGAGACACCGCACAGGCACATTTCTCTTTCCTCACCTTCTATACCAAGTTTGAAAACACTGCGTAATGACTTGGGCAGTTCCTTTTACCATAGCTTTCCAGGTTATCGAGTTTCTGGAAAAAGATATCAGACAAGAGATGAAAAAAAGTCCATGATTTCAGGTCACTGTGCAAAGCACAGCAGCCTTCAGGATTCTGGGAAACCCACATACCACTGACTGGAGAGCAATCAACGATTAAGATGTACATTACATCTAATTTAGGGCAAATTCAATGACGTATGAAGGTCCAGTGTGTACAGTAGGCCCAGCACACTTAACACCAAACCTCCTTTGAATATGATTTATCCGGTACCCTTGAACTCAGCAGCTCAAGACAATTTCCTGAAGACCCGTTGAGCAGTTGCTGTAAAAATGCCAAAAAGCCATGTCCCATTAGCTTTTTAAACAGGATGCAAGGTTTGATCAAACAGAATGGGAGACTTTCAGTTATGCAAAATGGCCAGCAATTTACATCTGGCTGATGACACGCACTTGCTTTCGACTACACAAAGAGATGCCAGTCTAGTTATATATAAACCTCAATT